ACAACTGATGGTTTGAATCGCTTCGAACATTCTAAAATATATCTAAAAAAAGAATGGAATATTTCCATTAAGATCTGAGCATACAACTTGATTTTTCGTCGATAATAGAGGTATGTTCAAAGTTTATATCCATAAAGACACCCCTAGAGAGACTCTTTGTTAAATTTATCATTTCCTTCTCTATCTGAAAAAACACGTTATTTTCTTTTTGTTGAGATCAATACTTGGTACTTGAAGTCAATACTTCATTTGAAAATATATCCAATAAAAAATTTCTTAGAAAAATCAAAACTTAGATTTCAATCGAATATGCATAATCTTGTTCACTTTGCATGTTTACAATTCAGTATGGCTGACGAAAACCTTGATTAATTTTCACTTCAGGCATTGGTTCTGTTATTGATTGAAAATATTTATTGAGAAACGCTTTCGTATGCATTAGAATGACTGTTATGGATATCGAATTATGATCATCGTTCGGTAACAATACGAGTTCCTTTTGGTTAGTGTGATTGAATAAATTGAATAATATTTGAGAATGTTCGAATCGAATCAAACCATCACGTTGTCCATGTATAAAAAGTGTTGGACATGTAATGTGTTGCATTGCTTCATTATTATCCCAATATGACACCCAAAGTAAATTTGAATAGCTACCAACTGCTTCTCGAACTAAATTCTTAATTGATGTATATGGAGATTGAAGAATAAGTCCACCAACTGATTGTGTCGATGCAAGATGACATGCAGGACCACTGCCTAGTGAATGACCATAAATTATGATTCGATCAGTTGGCCATTTAATTGTATGGCAAATGAACAAATAAACACGTTGAGCACGATCATTAATTGATGCTTCACTGGGTGATGATACTACTCCATTCGATAAACCATACGATGGATATTCGAAAACTAATATATGTGTCTGAAGCTGTCGACTCAATGTAACGAATGTCATATGCCTGGTACCAATGTCTTCTGCAGTGCCATGACACCAGATGAGAAAGAATCGGGCTTCCTGTTCTGGTGAGTAAAGCATACATGGAATCGCTGTTTCTTGTGTTGAATTTCGATCAAATGGAAGCCAGAGCAAGTAGTCCTTGTGGGATGTCAATGTGTAATGAGGTGGATTCGGAATGGAAAACAATATTTTCTTAAAAATAATGTTTAGAAAATATTTAGTGACCAGAAGCAATAGAGTCTAAACAGTAGAGCAAATAAGATGAATATTAGATAAGTCATTTTCAAATTTGTATATTCATAGGGGATTATAGAAGTCAAAGTTCTGCTTTAACAATATTTCATGAAACACATTTCTAATTCTATTTCAATGAATATGAATCCATGGTGCTATGAACTAAAACGCACTTCATTCTACCTGGATACTTACTCATTCAGAATTTGATATTTGCTTCGTTTAGTAAAAAATAAAAGTTGACAGTTGTACAAAGATGGAAAATCATTTCACTTACTATTGTAAAGAAAATTTTCAGAATTCTTTTTTTAATAATACGTTTCATCTCACATATCCAATAGTAGTAATAAAATCTGCAACAATTGAATGATATATTTTATTCATTGAAATATTAAGTAAAACCATGTATGAATGTTTTCACGTAGAAATATTGAAATGAATTAAATTTCTTGCGTGATCACCTGTGTCCATGAAAATATGTGAATTACTACAGGGATGCATTACTTCCTACTAAGCAGATGATTCACACAAGGAAAGTAAAAAAAGCATGATGATTGCGAAAGGTGAGATCGAAACGAATGCAAGGGTATGATGTGGAGTATGAGAATGTGGTTTTTTGCATCAGTCTTATGTACATACAAGTGTACTATTTGAATAGTGACTTATTCTAACTTTGTCAAGTGTTGTTGATATGAGACATTTTTTTTTAAAGTTCTTTCGTTATTTTGTGCGGGCGACATCATGTTACACTTTAAGTATGTCTCTTACTATGGCAATTTTTTTTGTTCTTCCTTTTCAATTCTTTTCAATAAAACACTTCATCGAAAAGAACCATACATAGCAAAGGTAAAGAATTTAGGTGAAAACCACGTAACGAAAGATTGCAGAGAAAGATATATATTTTTATAACAGTCATTTTACATAAACCACGATCGATTTCAATAGAGTCTGATAAAACGATCATCATCACTTTAGATAGATTTGATCTATGTTACAAGAACGAGTGTTTGAAAATAAATGTAGAAATCTCGGATTTATATCCAAGAGTTATGTGTACTTCAAAAAGTGAATGAGACAAATCGGCCATCCTAGAATGTGTCAACATAAAAGTTAGCTTGGCAAACCTTTTCTATACGTACTTGAATTCTATTGGCTACTGCTTAATCAATAGGATTTCGGAGTGAATACAGCTTATAGAAGTGAAAGTTCGAGACACGTGGAGTACAGATTCGAGTTCTTCGTCCGAAAAATCTCGAAGCATCATTTCTGTGATCAGAAGATAGAGTTCTAATAGTGGTTCGATTAAACCGCAGACAAAAACAGAATTTATGATAGGAAAAGGGTGTGGGTGCGGGTGTGGGTGTGTGGGTGTGGATGTGGGTTGGGTGTTGGTGTGGGTGTGGGGTGTGGGGTGTGGGTGGTTGTGGGTGTAATGGGCGGCTGAGAATGTAAGTAAGCAATGATCGACACATACACCCACACCCACACCCACACCCACACCCTAGCATGTTTGTAAAATAAATTATTTTAACCTGTCTGACAATATACGATAACTTTATGACAATCAGAGCTTATGAGTTCCACGCTTTGATCCCTCACGGGGTCGCACTGAGAAGTTTTACGATCAAAATGATCTGACACTGCTATATCAATAGAAGCGTCAGATCAATTCGAACCTAAACTAACTGTCACCATTCCGCTCAGCATAATGAATTACTTTTGTCTAGATGCTGTTCCGAATGATCATAAGTCAATTGACTGAAGTTGGAGTCTCAGAAAAAGCCTCAGAACTCTTGAACTGAACAAGCTACGAATGCCAACCTTATGCAGATGGAAAGAGACGAATTTTTTTCTGGCGATCAGTCATACCATAAATCGAAATCGAAAGGGAGGTGACTTCAGCATATCATTTTTTTAAATGTCCAGCAAGAACTAATCTGATTGGTTGATTGCTGACGAATCACATTGTGATATGTTTCGATGGTGTTCCTATTGAAAGTCATTCAAAAGAGCAATGGCCTACCTTATATTTTGGCGTCGATAGTAAAAAGTAAATATCCACCTTGTAGCATTTTTTATGCTCTATTACATGAGATATTATTCAATTTGATTGCATATCATGTTATTGAGAAAATTAAAGCTCAAGCTAAAACAAAGATTTTGTCAGTTGATTGTCTATGTCTTTATTGCGGAACTTGAGAATGTCTTTACAGTACCTCTCTTCTGGCATATAGTGTGACAGATATGTGGTGGTGTGGTCATTTCCTTCTTATATTGTCTTTCTTTCCTATTGATTGAAATATATTGT